ATTCTTAAGAAGCAGCACCTTCGTAAGGAAAACTCCCTGGTCTTGCAAACATCTTCGTTCAAATGGTGTCGATTATGTCGCATTGACAGTGTGGATCTTTAGAAATAGCTTGGTCTTTCATGTGTTCTCTCAGAACAGGTATGGCATGTCTAGATCTCTCGTTGTTATAATATTCACAATAACCAGAAAAATCATTTATCTCTGTGGTGTAAAGAAATCGTTAGTTTTGTTGTTGTTGGGGAAGTATCCTTAATTCTCAACTGCCTGTGGTGCTTGGGAACAGAGGAATATGTATATTTTTTTAATGAAAATAATTGTCAGGTATTGATTGTTAAGGATCAAGGCCCACTACATAATATTTGAGATTGTGCTTGGCATGTTATGCTGATAAACCGCGGTCTGTCACTGCTCAGGCCGCAGGGCGTGTCTTTCTATGTCATGTGATATGCGGCGCACGGTGGCCGTGGGGTTTTATTTGTCATGTCGTAGTCTGGTAGTTGGTTCGTAACTCGAGGAGTGTCCTTGATGGGTCATATACCATCATCGATTACCCCATTCGCCACTGATAAATTGTGAGCCACGCATTGACAGAATTGCGTAATGGTGAAATTTTTCTTGTGAACATTACTCTATGTCATAAAGGCATATCCACAAAAGCATGAGTCAGTTGACAAACTTGAGGAAAGTGCACTGATGACGTACTTGCAGGAAAATGGTTTAACGCATCCTTGGAGGTGTTAGTGCATGACTAGGGCGGGTTAGAATTGGTCTTCAGCAACCCGTGCTTTTCGTAAGTGGCCACCTACGGGATCGGGTGGTCAGGCTTGCTGACCTGGTTGATGCATGTCATCGTATCCAAACTGCGTGGGTCGATGCTCATGATGTCAGTCACTGGATTGTCTGGTTCAGACTTGATTATTTTACAGACCGCTGTCGTATAGCTGGAATATTGAGGACACAGCGTCAAACAAACAAACAAACAACACTAAGAAAGGATGCCCCTTCCTATGCAACGGTCAGAGGTGGGCAGCATCATCATCACCACCGTCGTCGTCGTCGTCATCATCATCATCATCATCACCGGCGTATGACTGTGAGCGACGTTTTCTAGTTCAGTAGACATTTCCCAGGAGAGAGTACATACCATTATCACAGAAACTTTAGAAATGAAGAAAGTATCACACATCTGATCAAAACCGCAGCAGACACATCACGTCTCGTGATAATCTAGCTGCCTGAAGCTTATTCAGAAAGGTTCTTGCAACTATTTGTGACTATGGACTAAACCTGGGTACACCACTTCCAGACTGAGTTGAAACAACAACCAAATTAGTGGAAGCATTGGACATCAAAACAACCAAATCCGTTGTTCGTTATCTACGTTTTCGCTCGGAAACGTCCGCCATCTTGGATAAAACAAACACAGTACACGTAACTGCAGCACTGACTTGTATTAGCAGTGATCACTTCATAGAATTCAATTGATAACATTTCATAACATTCATTTAAGCCGAATAAGGTTGATCCGTCACCGCTGATTGCGTTGATTCACCGCTGATTGCATACAGCTAATTGTCAGTGACACTTGACACTGAGTGAGATTTCTCAGTTCGCTTTACACGTCACTAATTAGTGGAATTGGTTTGTAGGTGATCAGATATCAGTTTGCTGTAGAGAGTTCGTGATATACGTAAATTTCATATGATATTATATGGGAGATAAATCGGGGATTGTTAAACAGTTCGTCATATCCGTTTGTTCGCTATGTCCTCGTTCGCTATATCCGTGTTCTACTGTAATTGGATTGGATGGCTATACATAGTGTCGTCCTTCGAATATAACAATTCCGGAAAACCTGGAGCCACGACATTTATATCTCAGAACATCCAGAATGTCCACTGAACAGTTTTTTTATAAACGATTTCTTTCTGGAACATATTGGTTTTCTTTTGGGCCAGACAAACCAGTAATTTATACTTGTTTTTAAATCCATTTCATTAATTTCATTCAAATAATGTTCACATTAATTTCTCCAGCTTATGACTTGTGATTGTAGTGTACCCTATCTTAAACACAACAACAGAATATTATGAAAATACGCTTATGGTGTTGACGGATGCGTTATAGATTAATGCACTAATATAGCAACGTGCGTGTGTGGTGCGGTGCGGTGCGGTGCGGTGCGCTTGTACGGACTAATGCCGATTTTATAGTGCTATAGTGCCACTGAGATACCATGCCACAGTTTAACTTGAATACCCCACTCAGACACAGTATACTGACTCCGAGCCGACCAGTCCTGGTTGTATCCCCTTAATGCCGAGCGCCAGACAGGGTAACAACAAGTAACATCTTTTAACGACTCTTGGTATGACGCGGCCGGGGATCCAACACCCGACCTTCCGCTCTCCGGGCGGACGCTCTACCACTAGACCACGAAGGCGGTCACGCTTATATATAAGCCCAAGAAAGATACCGGTGCCTGTTCGACAAGACTTGGAATAGGGTGTGATTCCTAAATGGAATACCACTTCGTTCTTGTATGTGATAAATACCATTCTATCAGATGTGTTTACTTACCTTTAAGACCCGTGACGATCCGGGGAAGAATATAGGTCTTCAGGAACCCATGCTTGCCGTAAAAGGCGACTATGCTTGTCGTAAGAGGCGACTAACGGGACCGGGTGGTCAGGCTCGCTGACTTGGTTGAAGCATATCATCGATCCCAATTGCGTGGATCGATGCTTATGATATCAATCACTGGATTGTCTGGTCCAGATTCGATTATTTACAGACCGCCGTCATGTAGCTGGAATATTGCTGAGTGCGGCGTGAAACAACCAACCAAACCAACTTACCCTCCAAGTTTAATGTTCATCCGTCTCTTCATAATTTCAATTTACTAATGTAGACCAAAAATGAATCACTGTGAAAACAGGTCCTTGAAAGGCATTTAGAAGGGGTATACGTAAGGAAGTGAATTTATGGATGTCAACTTCTTTATTGTGAGGAACACAACGTATATGCTTACTCAACAGTAAGGTGAGGTGAAATTGGGTTTAACGTCGCGTCCAAGATTATTGCACTTATATAGCGACGTGCATGTGTGTGTGGCTGCTTGTACGAGTCCGGACTGATGCCGATTTATAGTGCTAGCTCACTGAGATACCATGCCACAGTTTAACACGAATACCCCACTCAGACACAGTATACTGACTCCGAGCCGACCAGTCCTTGTTTTAGCCCCTTAATGCCGAGCACCAGACAGGGTAACCATCAAGTACCATCTTTCAACGTCTTTTGGTATGACGCGGCCGGGAATCGAACCCCTAACCACGAAAGCGGTTCTCCTCAGTAAGGACTTGGATTATCACTGATTGGTACAACTCTCTATTTGTTAGACAAAACGCACATCTGTCTCAAAATTGATTTTTGTAATTCATTGTACGCGGGCCAATGACCTTTTTTTTCTGAAATATGGTTTGATTGATTTGATTGGTACTTGGCCTCCCGTTTGCCCATTGTCCATTGCCAATAACCAGTCAGTGATAATTTGAGTCCTGGCTTCCAGATGCCCATTACATCAGCGCTAATTACTGTAAAGTGCTGGCTTTCATTATCTAATCACCTATCAGCGCCAATTATCTATTGGCTTCCCTTTTTACGTTTCCACCTTTTCTTATCTTATTGCTTTTGTTGTTCTTACATGTACATATACATGTATATGCTCTCTGCCTCATAGCGGGGCGGTCGGGTGGCCTAGTGGTTAAAGCGTTCGCTCGTCGCGCCGAAGACCCGGGTTCGATTCCCGATGTGGTTACAAAGTGTGAAGCCTATTGGAAAATTGCTAAAAGCGGCGTAAAACCAAACTCACTTACACTACCTCATAGCATTCATTCACCTGATGAAGGATTAAGTATATTCTCCGAAACGTTGTGTTCCTCATAATAAAGCAGTTGATATCCATAAATTCTCTTCCTTGCTGTTAAAACAGCTTGTTATGTATGTTTGTAACATATTATCAGTCAGAAATGTTTTAACTGAATAGAAAATATTACCTCTCTGTAATTTTCTATGATATGGTCTGATAACCTACACGCTCTCTTCTGAATACAGACGTAAATAAATGGAATAAATCAAGCGAATTACAATTTATCATCCAAAACTGGCTCCCACAGGAGATATCGCTTGGATGAGATCAAGCGATATCTACACTGTAGATATCGCTGCAATGAAATTACATCACAATGCTTTGCAGACCATTGTGACATCACTGGTTACCATGACGTCACAATCTAATGACATCACTAATGGCTCTGCTACTGAAGCTGTTTGCAGTACTTTTTACACTGAAGACACTGCTAATTACTGTCTACAAATTGAAAAAGTTGAAAGAATGATGTTGGATGATAAATAAAATCTCACCCTCGTGTCTTTTGATATCAAATATATCAACACTCGTTGATAAAAGTGGCAAAAATCCTCGGCAAGCCTCGGATTTTTCCACTTTTATCAACTCGTGTTGATATATTTGATATCAAAAGACACTCGGGTGAGATTCTCTATGTAAATTAATTAGTAGTTAAATATACTTACTGCCGAATAATATTACCTTAATTTAAGTCACACGAGCAGCAAACTTATACTCTAAGGCTGCACAATTACGAACAATGCTTAGCATCACATTCTTGTACAGAAATCGCGTGATAATTTTAAACAACAAGTCGACGTCAAACATTTATGGTCCGCTTCAAAAAGTCTTTCTCTCATGCTAATTTTCAAACATGACACTCTTTCGCGCCACGAGGGAGAAATAAGTTAACAATTTTACAAAATTAATTGTTTGGGGGTATTTTCATTCTATAAATAATCATATTGTTCCAAAATATTTTTTGTAATTAATAACATAATTATCATATTTAGTTGATATTTTATAACTCCCAAAATGAAATAATTATATTTTATTTTTACGAATTAATAACTAGTCCCTAAGACGGAAGTGATGAGAACGTTTGTTGATATCTCCGTGTTCTGTCGTGTTTTCCGTGGGCTTGTGCATCAGTTATTATTGTGATGATAAGTGTTGTTGAATACTCGAGTAGCTCTGGTGAAAATGACAGCCATGATTCCACGGAAGCTAATCTACCACCCACCTTCCCTGACAAGCGTCCAGCCTCACCGTTAAATGACACCAGCGAGTGCAAACGTTTCAAAACAAGCGAGCCAGAAATACGGTGAGTGAAAAGCGCCGTCCGCGTGTCTAAGTGCACAACAATTATTTGCAGCAGACTTACCAAAGAAGCTCAGTGTCATCTACATTAGCAACAGCGGATGTGATGTTCAAGGGCGTAATTTTTGCTTTTTTTCTCTGTGAGAATAAAGAACTTTAATATGTTGAATTTTAGTTCGATGAGGCACCTTTCAAAGATGCATCGAGTCAGCTGGACATCTAGAGGCGTAAAAAGGACTGGAAGGGCTTGATTGAGGGAAATTGCCTGATCCTATGGAATAAAAGGGATCCTGGTAAAACGTCACATTAATGACCCCATTATGTGCCCGGCGAAAAAAGAGGCAAAGTTGCTAGAAGTAAAATCAGGGACAATATAGGCCTAACGTATCGTCTCTGTTGAAAAAGAATCGTGTAAAATTAATTTTAGTCCGCTATGGACTATTTTTTGCCACTTTTTTCATTCAAATATCCAAGCACTAAGGATAACCCGAACACGATCAAAGAGGCACGCATATAATATATATAGATCTATATGTATCTTCCGATACTAAATAATTTTTCTAGATAATTATATCTAGTTTTTATGATGATTTTGAATTGTAAACAGATTTTATTATCACGCCTCAATTTATATATATTAATTTATTTCATAATTCTCCTGACATTCTCACATGCAAAATAAACAGATGGTAATTCACCCAATGCATTTCAGCATCATCAACATTATTTGCTTTTACACTTCAGTTCATCACATTTATCCATACAATGGCGGTAGAAACTAACAGTTTTAGTCCACTAGTCTATTGATAACCATGATAACATATAGCTGAACCCTAAAAAATGGCAAATTTCTACTAGTCCTTATGATAACTTAACTATTGGGCAGTTTGGCAAGGACTACATGACTAGTGCCAATTTCTAATGCTGCATTCAGTCATATTTATATTATCTACTTACAGCAAAATAAACAAACATTAATTTATAAATGAATGTAGGGATATACCTGGTCCATTTGTTTTTGAATCAAAGGGTCTCTCAGTAAATTTTTCCAGGGCCCAAAGCACGAATGTGGGATAGTTTATTTTTTATCAGAAAAGACATGTCAGTATTTTTGTGACCCACAAACTACATGCAATTTGAAAAGTTAATGATTCAAACAGCCATACTTTCTTGCGTCCAACAGGACTCACTCTTTAAATTATTTGTTGATAGGATGCAATTGTTTTTATCTAGAGTGAGACCCTGTGAATGTCAGTTGCTACGTTTGTTTACGGAAGCCTTTTAGGGCCATTTGTTATTTTTTCTTTTCTTGAAATTTCAAGATACTAACTTGAAATTTCTAAATGTTATGTTGGAATTTCAAGATGCTAAGTTGAAATTTCAAGATAATCATCTTGAAATTTCAAGATAACTTAAAATTTCAACATAACATCTAGAAATTTCAAGATACTAACTTGAAATTTCTAGATGTTATGTTGAAATTTCAAGCAACAAGGTCGAAATTTCAAGATACCATCTAGAAATTTCAAGATACTAACTTGAAATTTCTAGATGTTATGTTGAAATTTCAAGTTGTTATCTTGAAATTCCAACATAACATCTAGAAATTTCAAGTTAGTATCTTGAAATGTTTAGATGGTATCTTGAAATTTTGACTTTGTTGCTTGAAATTTCAAGAAAAAAATAAAAAAACAAATGGCCCTGAAAGGGCTTCCATACTTGTTGTATTCATAGATTGTAAATTAACTGTAAATGAATGTTGAATGCTCAGTTACGTTTTTTATTTTCGTTTTGGCCTATCTCTGAGGTACATTTTTTTATCAAAAATTCATAGACCAATGAAATGTTGATGATTACTGAAGTTGATCATTTGAAATTTGGCTTTGGAGAGAATTGAAAAAGGTTCAAGAGCATGTCAAAACATCTGCCCTCATGGAACAATACTGCTTCTAGATCAGTAAGAAATGTGGATAACTCGTACATTTGTAATCCAAGTATATTTATTTATCAGTTAATGTGGTATCTCATCAGAAGAGACGTCCGACTTCTACCTCTGCCCTCAGCAATACAGACGTTGTATGACGATAGAACTGACGAGACACGGCGGGAGGATAACAGTAAACATGGCGGACGGATACGGTCCTTTGCTCACGTGGAAGGCAACTGGGCCACGTTTGTGTATGTCCCAGGTTAGTAAGAATAAGAATAAATCTGTGGGTTAATAATAATAATAATAAGTGTATTTATAAATTATAATGTGCCAGATTCCATTCACCAAGTGGATGCTCATGGCGCTGCACTATTATTACCCTGGTCAATGGATCAATGAGCACTCGATTTTCATTCTCAGCTCCCTGGTAAGTATACAACCCAAGCTGCCTGTGAGGCGCTAGAAGGTTCACGGCTAAATTACCATCTCATCCTACCGGGTACCCACTCACTGCTGGGTGAACAGAGGCACATTTTGAACAAAGTCACTTGCCTAAGCAGACTTCACATGTGGTACATGTGTTTAAGTGTGGGGCAGGACCGAAGCCCTCGAAATTCTCAGGATTCAAACTGCTGAACGCGGTCACCCATCCAACTACTCTCCGAGACCGACGTTGCTTAACTTGACCTGATTTGTGACCTGTGCGCTGTGCACAGGACCATGTGTCATCACCTGTTGGTTGGGTGGATACAGGGGTGAGGACGGTTGGAGACAGGGATGAGGATGGTTGGAGACAGGGATGAGTGGTGACAGGAGTAATGGTGGAAGTTGGGTGGAGAGAGAGACAGCAGTGGGGCCAGTGGACTCGGAGACATGGACGAGTGGGGACAGGAATGGGATTGGGGGTTGGGTAGAGACGGAGACAGGGGTAGGGATAACAATAGAAACGGATGGGGGTTGGGTGGCAACAAGGGTGGGGACGGGTGGAGACAGATGGGCATTAGGTGGGTACAGCTCTTTTTCAGGGGTGGAGACAGGGATGTCTGGGTCAGGAACTTGTAGGCTGATGACAGATCGGGCTGGGTCAGGGAGTGTGAGACGGGTGGAGTTAGGTGGATGCTGGTGTGTGTTACATCTTCACTGTAAGAGTACTTCTACTTCTTCTTCTCAGTGCATGGGGGCGGTCGGGTAGCCGAGTGGTTAAAGCGTTCGCTCGTCACGCCAAAGACCCGGGTTCGATTCCCGACATAGGTACAATGTGTGAAGCCCGTTCTGGTGTCCCACTCCATGATATTGCTGGAATATTGCTAAAAGCGGTGTAAAACTATATTCTCACTCACTCACTCACTCACTCACTCACCAACTCACTCACTCACTCACTCTCAGTGCATGTTTTCAGAAAAAAATTCTTTAGCTTCCTTTGTATATGTCAAGTATGTTGGCATGTGAACGAAATTCTCACATTATGGTTCTGGATGTACAAAGATATGATTCGTTACGTGCTTGTGTTTCTGTGTTCCAGTCACCCCTGATGACAGACTCCTGGAGCTCTTCACGTCCCTGCTCTCCTGTCTCCGACCCCTCCAGTTCCAGTTGATGTCAGATCACCATGTGACACTCTCGCGGACAGTAGCGATCCGGCACCACTGGATAGAGTCACTCAGAGACACCTTGAAAGAAAACCTCACAACTTGTGATGGGTAAGAAATTGTTGTGTGTATAAGTATTTGAAGTTAGTGATTTAGGTTTACTGCCTCTGTGTGTATTATTTCGGAGCATGCGCGTTTGTATTGTGACAGGAAGTACCTGACGAAGATCGTAGATGTTTCAGGGATGTGAAATCTCCGCGGAAACGCGGAAAATCGCGTTTTTTAAAACAGTAGTCCTCGGGAAAAAAACATCTTCCGCGTAAAAATTTAATAAAATTTAAAAAAAAAACACTCCGAAAAATATGATCGAAAACCGGACAATTGGCGCGGATTGTCCTGTTTTCGATCAGAGCTTTCACAGCTTAGGTTTTCGGACATCATACGTTTTCTGTCACGAATACTTGCACTATAACGTGGGGTGTGGCGTCACACAGAAATTGTAAATACTCAGAGTCAGCTGATGGCTTGTTTTTAAGATAAAGTTGTCTTTTTAATCCTGTAAGTGAATGAGATGTTTTACAGTTGTTCATGTGATAAGCGAGAAAACTATGAATGTTTCTTCAGCGTCCAAAACCCCATGTCATGGGGATATATGTTGTATTAATGTCTTATGTTTGCAATGGAGTTTTGTTTTTTTCATCAAAAGGTAAGTACAAGGTAAGTTTTTTCCAATATGCTTCAACATGGGGAAAGGGTCAGACATTGCACGCTTGTGACAGTTGTCCTTGTGTCTGGGGGATGGGGGTTGAAGTTTATGGCAGTATTGCTCCCAGACCTGGCGGGTAGCCAGGTGCGCGAAAGCTATGCCCAATTTTATAAAAGTACTGATTTAACTTCGAAATTTTACTGCATCTGCCATCTTGTTTATTTGACTTATTGACTTTGGCCATTGACTTATTACATTTCTTGGTGTGAATGTTGTCCAAACTGCACGAAATGGCTTAAAATGCAATCAAATGTTTTAAAAATTTCTGGGGGGGCATGCCCCCAGACCCCCCTAGACTTTGCCTCTTTTTTTTCGGGAATGCTCACATCCCTGATGTTTACCACGGCGGTAGAGCCCACAAGTATGGGTGTTGTGCTGAAGGAACAAGGTTCTAATCAGGGACCCATGAGCAGCAGATCCTGGCACAGTATAAGGAGGCAACTCTACATTCCCCCAATTGTCTAAAAATCCAATTCTGGAATTCAGAACCTTGACAAACCATATTAATGCTCAACATTTGTAGTCTGTCTCACAGTCCCTGAACCATCTTATTTTCCTTCCATCCAGTCCTCTCTGTAATGCATCAACTCTAAGTGGAGCAAGTCTAGATTTGCCATCTGGATCTCCCATCTCACTGGGGCTCCTTTTCAATTTATATGGAGTTCTTTCAAAATTACATATTTTCAGAGTCAGTCTACAACGTTTGCTAAGGCCCAAAGCTGTCATCTTTTGACCAAAGTTTGATTCTTTGCAAATGTTGAGTAGTATATTTCAAGTGTTTTACATTAATGATACATTTAAGGTCAGTCGTTTCCTATTTCTTGGCTTAGTGTTGTGTTTTTGAAAAAATAATGGTTGAAGAGGAAAAAATGTTAAAGATTGTTCAGATTTGTTTTTTTCCAAAAGAAACTGATCTCTTCTGTCTTGTATTGTATACATTATAGTTTTAGGTAAACATGTATGTTTGTAGTTAGTGCAGATAAAAAAACCGCTTGTTGTGTTTTATTTTTTTCCACTTTGATTTTTTGTGTGTTGGCAGATCTGTTTTACTGCATGCCGGCGCCTTTGCCTCATCTCTCAGAAATGGAATAATCCTTGGAGAAATCTGGAGGTCGTTCTTGTTGCAGAACACTGTACATTCCCTTTGCTAATCTAGATGTCTTCCATCTTCCTGAGACAAGGGAGTTAACTGACTTTAAAAGTCCAGTTTCCACCCTTGCCGAATTAGGCTGCAATTATGGAGTTATATTTTGGCTGGTCTAACGAGGCTATGCATAGTCAAATCAAAATCGCATTTTGAAATCAACATCCGGTTCGTAAACTGACATGCAAATCTCAATCAGTTGTAGGATTTGAAAACCATGTGTACCGTCAACCTAGCATCAACAGATATTTTTCAAATTTTTTAATTTTTTTAATCAAGGTTCCAACATGATTTAATGCACTTCATGAAGTAAGGCCCTATTTATTACAACATAGATCTTGATTATCAATCAGAAGTTCTTGCCGGGGTGCGCCATTTTGTTGAAGCAAATGCAAGTGATATGAGAGGTGGAATCTGATTGGTCAATAGGAGGGTCATAGAAGGGACATAACTTGTAATAGCCACTGGTGGCGCTACGATTGAATTCAGACATTCCTGCCTATTTCGGTAAAGGTTGAAACTGGACTTTTACAGTCAGCCAGCTCCCTTGCCTCGGGAAGATGGATGTCTTAATGTTAATTGGTTAAGTGCATCATTTGTGATTTCAGCTGTATCTGTGATATTGTGCAACCACGACTCTACACCAACGATGAGAAGACCAGGTGAGTGGTCAACCGTGACTGAGAGATCTTATTCCGGGATTTATCTCATGTTTGAACTAAGTACCAGTGACAGGCAACTTCGAAAAATATTTATTTTGTCAAACTTTGGAATTATACTTGTCCTTACTCACACTATGCTTTTCTTTCTTCTACTGTTGGGGGCACGGGTGGCACAGTCGTCTAAGGCGCCCCGATTCGCTGTGCAGAGTTGCGTCCCTTGGGCACGCCAGAAATCTATGATTGTGGGTTCGAATCCCGGTTCGCCTCGATTATGTTTCTAGGTTTGTGAGCACCATACCCGTGCTCGTGGGTTTCACCGAAGTGGTAAACGTCTGAGACATGGGCTTTCCTCCCACATTAAGCTGACACGCCGCGATATAACTGGAATACTGTGAAAAGAGGCGCTAAACCCAACTCACACAATTCTTCTACTGTCCTTGTTGAAATGCCTTGCACTCGGCATTAAGGGGCTTAAACAAGGACTGGTCAGCTTGGAGTCTGTTTGGGGTATTCATGTTAAACTGCGGCATGGTATCTCAGTGGGCTAGCATTATAAAATTGGCATTTGTCCGGACTAGTACAAGCAGCCACACACACACGTGCAGCACATCGCTATATAAGTGCAATAATCTTGGAACGAGACGTTATACTCCATTCCACCTCACCACGGTAGCAGAGTTGCAAGCTCTCATTCGCTGTTGCGGGCTTGCAGATCAATCATCCTAATTTCGACCTCCTACTTGGGATCTCAACGTCATTTTATGCCATTTATCTTTGGAGGTCTGTGTCACACTCAAGGCAATATTTCTACTAGCTCTAGCAGCGGCTGCAAGCATTGATGAGCTTCATGCTCTTGATGTCAACAGGGTCCGGTTCGAGAGACAACGTCATGGGACAGTATTCCTTAGACTTCGCTGGGACTTCATAGCCAAGAACCAGCTCCATGGCCAACCAGATCAGTTGTTCACCATCCCTTCCCTTGCCTTGATTTTGAATCCTGATGATCGTGAACATCTCTCTTTATGTCTGGGTCAAGCCTTACATCTCTTGCTAAAAGCTTCGACTTCTCTGTGATGCTTTCTTTAGAGACTTTTCTTCCCGTTATCCACGGCTGCGAACACGGAAGTCTCCCGAACTGTGATATTCTTCTGGCTACGCTCAACAATTCCCCCGGCTAACACCTTAGCGCGGAATGCCTCCTCCACTGGCTACCAATCCACACGAGACTCAAGCTGTTCCCTCTACTATGGCAAGCTTGGCTTGCAACTGCACGTTTTCTGCTAATATGAAAGGATGTTTTTGGAAGTCTGATGCAACTGAGACATGGCGGTCACAGATGTCCAAGGTCTTCATCAGTTCGGACCACTGGTTCTTGCCAAGCAAACTGACAGCAACTCATCGGCGCAGATGAAGGTACAATGGACCACGGCTCAGCTGAATCGTGGATTGTATCGTAAAAATGGAAATAAATACTGTAATTTATATTCTCTGAGTACCCATTTGAGGGCAACTAGACTCATCTGTGGAGACTTATGTCTTCAAGTTTGAAGTATCCGCATGGCTCGTCCTTTTCAGCGTGTACCCAGGCGTGTACCTGCTAACCTCTGTCTTTGTGCAAGTTATGTCTCAGTATTGGTTTGAAGACGCTCTTGTGGGCATTGTTGATCGTTTCCTCTTCACGTCTTAGCATGCTTCGATCACTGGGGGGGGGGGGGGGGGGGGGGGGGGGGGTCAGGGGGTCAGGTTGCCTAGTGGTTAAAGCGTTCGCTCATCATGCCGAAGACCCAGGTTCGATTCCCGACATGGGTACAATGTGTGAAGCCCATTTCTGGTGTCCCCCGCCATGATATTACTGGAATATTGCTAAAAGCGGCGTAAAACCATACTCACTCACTCAATCACTGCGGACGTGGTTGATAACTTTGACAATGCGTCAAAAGAGATGCCAAGCTGGCTCACCATTATGTCTGTGGGAGTAGTGTGTGAAGCTTGTCTTGTAGAACCGATTGACTGGAGGGACACTGTTCCCCCTACCGGATTGTTACAAGTCGTGGCTGAATAAGTTGCCGAGTTCAAAGCTACGTAGTCGTTCTACGATGTCCCTTGTGAAGATACATGACTCATGTATTGCCGATATCATGATCGTTACGTCCCAGTAATGCAAAGGGGTTTTTGTTCTTTGGAATCACTCATTCACGAGTTAAACTAAACGGGGTGTCAAGTAGCCTAGTAGTTAAAGCGTTGGCTCGTTACAAGATATTTGGTCACACCCTGTGTCAGTATACTGCATAAAAGGAAAGGGATGTAACGAGGCCAACTCACGAAGTTCTTTCGAGGACTAATTCAACAATATCCACTATAAACACCCCCATAAAACTATACACTCATTTCGGGCGGTTGGGAAGCCTAGTGGTTAAAGCTGTCGCCCGTCACGCCGAAGACCCGGGTTCGATTCATGATATGGGTACAATGTGTGAAGACCATTTCTGGTTCCCCCGCCATGATATTGCTGGAATATTGCTAAAAGCGGCGTAAAACCATATTCACTCACTCACTCACTTTACACGCCAAACATTGTACCAATCAGGTGATTGGTGCATTGTTTAGTACCATCTTCCTCGTCTTCGTCTCACGGTTGTACTCTGTACAGGACAGGGTTGGTTGGTTGGTTGGTTGTTTTACGCCGCACTCAGCAATATTCCAGCTATATGAAGGGGGTCTGTAAATAATTGAGTCTGGACCAGACAATCCATTGATTGATATCATGAACATCGATCCACGCAATTGGGATCAATGGCATGCAGTCAGCGAGCCTGACCACCTGATCCCGTTAGTCGCCTTTTACGACAAGCATAGTCGCCTTTTACGGCAAGCATGGGTTGCTGAAAACCTATTCTACCCCGGAATCTTCACGGGCCAGGGTATCTGCGCCCTACCAACCGAGGGATAAATGCAGTGTGAGTTTATGAGATAAGATTAAAATATTTGAAAATCTGATTGTACATTCATATACTTATCCTATCTCACACGCTATATGCACACCCAACCATCTCCGTACCACACCAGCCTTTTTGCTTTAAGTAAGAGAATGATGTGGCAGGGTATGTCTGGTGATAGGGTCCCACAGGGTCGTATCGTGCGAGATTGCAGTGGTGCATTCCCCTTTGTTTAGGTGATGACTTGGTGATGTATGGAATGTGTTGGGGTGAGATGTTTTTTGAAGTTGGAAACTTTGTTCTAGGATGTTTCCACACCATTTTTGAAATTAGAAGGAAGAAATGCATTGTGTGAGAACGGAGAAGTATAGATATATAATTCCTTATAGGATTTTCGATTCCTGGATTATAATTCTCAAGTAGTTATTCAATGTTATAATATAAAGTGTAGTATTAAAGCCCTCTCTCTATTGGTTCTTTTCTCAGTAAAATCCAAGTCATCTTTGCCGAGATAAAACACTGACCAATGATGAAAGGTGGCGACAAACACGAAATTTCTCCCATCATGATTGGTGCACATTTCTAACAAACTCGGTTTAAAAAATAATAGAATTGGTTCTCAGGAAATGACTTATAGAGCGGGCGGGCAATGTTTTTTGTTGTTGTTGGCTTGTTCAAACTAGTATGTAACCAAATAAACAGTTGTGTGTACCATCAACCTGGGAAAGGGCCTCCCTACATAAACAAGCATACTAACTCCTATTGCTGCCATGACCATAACACGAGATGCACAGTAAATTAGTGTGCATGTAAAGGGAAGTAACTGCATGCTATATTGTATCTCGCATTGTTTTTAAGTATTTTTATACTGTTCAAATGGAGAAGGGGGGTGGGGTGTGGAAATAAAAACGAAACATGGGGCAGACTTTATGATGATGCGAGCAGTGCCTGAGAACCAAAAGTATTATTTTTTTTAGCCTTTGCTCTGGCATCTAAAAGGAAGCCCCACAAACCCTTGTATCTGTAGTGTGTTAGTTAAAACTCTATGGACACACATTTTTTATATTTTCGTTTCACAGGCCACTGCCTCTACTGAAAAGCAGCTGGAAAAGAAATAAATGAAACATAAAAATATTCATTATTATTATGTGCCCGCTTGTAACATAGACCATCTTATAAAATATGAAATGCTATATATCAATTCCATGTCTACATCACTATCAGTGATCCATCTGCAGTTTTAACACCACGACAGAATGACTTCCAAATAAATAAATAAATAAATAAATAAATAAATAAATAAATAAATAAATAAATAAATAAATAAATAAATAAATAAATAAATAAATAAATAAATAAATAAATAAATAAATAAATAAATAAATAAATAAATAAATAAATAAATAAATAAATAAATAAATAAATAAATAAATAAATAAATAAATAAATAAATAAATAAATAAATAAATAAATAAATAAATAAATAAATAAATAAATAAATAAATAAATAAATAATGACACAGCTATTTAAGTTTATATTGACCGGCCTTGAGTGGAAGAGCTGGAATAAATCTGGAAACATAAAAATATAAAAGCGTGGCTTAAGAAGCCGAGAAGGAACGGACACCCTTCTTACAAGCATGGGGGAAGGATCTCGTGAATGCATTCTGGGCTGATCATTGAGGAATCTATGTCCCCAGGACGTTCCTATGTCTGGAAGTCCAGGAGGACGGAACTCACTTACGTCACTACGTGGATGTGGTCAACAAGTGCTTCAAGGAGTTCCGGCTACAGGCGTACTACGAGGTAGGTATCTCTGGAAGCTTGGCTTGCATGTACGTAACAGATATTGCTAACAGAGGCTCTTGGAGTGTTTTACAATAGGCAGTTATTTGTTTGTTTGTAGTTAAATGCACACTCAGCAATATTCAAGCTGTATGACGGCAGGCTGTAAATAATCGAGTTTTGACCAGACAATCCAGTGTGTGACATCATGTGCAATCCACGCAATTGGGATCGATGACATGCATCAACCAAGTCAGCGAGCCTGACCACCCAATCCCGTTAGTCGCCTCTTACGACAAGCATAGTTGCCTTTTACGGCAAGCATGGGTTGCTGAAGACCTATTCTACCCAGGATCTTCTCAGGTTTCCAAATTGTTAGTGAGTTCGGTTAAACGCCACTTTGAACAGTATTTCAGTTATATCACAGTGAGTCAATTGGTGTGGGAGGAAAGCATGAAGTGATTCAGGTCTTAGATTTTTACCACTTCGGTGAAACCCCGTGCATAGCATTGGTCAATCCAAAGAGGATAGGGAGCAGGGGTGTAAACATATAACCCCAATGTTGAACAGTTAGCGAATCCCACAATTCCAATACAATCATGACTATAAGAGCAAACATCAAGGAACACTGGACCCCCCATCTTCCCGAGACAAGGGATATTTCATTCTCGATCGTAGCGCCACTGGTGGCAATTACAATTTAGGTCCCTTCTATGCCCTTCCTATGGACCAATTAGATTTCTACCTCTCATATCACTTGCATTTCCTTCAAACAAAATGGCGATGCCCAGTCAAGACAGTCTGATCGATAATCAAGGTCTTTTTTGTAATAAAATGGGTGTGACCTCACGAATTGCATCAAATCACTTGATTCAAGACATGAACAAATTTGGGAAATATCGACCCCCGCCCTGTTGACAGTACACATGCTTTACAAATCTTGCAATTGACTGAAATCTTCATGGCAGTCGCAATGTTGTTTACAAACCAAACATTAAGTTTGTCACACGATTTTGATTGGACTGTGCATAGACTCGTTAGTCCAACCGAAATATAACTCCATAATCCCTGGAAACTGGACTTTTATAGTCAGTTAACTCCCTTGCCTTGGGAAGATGTAGACCCCCTTAATTTCAAACACTATATGAGGATTTGGTGGTGCCAATTGTGTGTCATTTTTGCTCAAGCAGTAGAATGTTGTGTAGTCTTCATAAGATAGTCTCCATGGTCAAGTGGTAGAGCGTCCCCCTGGAGAGATTAAACGATTGTACTTGTTGTTACCCTGTCTGGCGCTTGGCATTAAGGGGCTTAAACAAGGACTGGTCGGCTTGGAGTCATGATACTGTGTCTGAGTGGGGTATTCATGTTAAACTGCGGCATGGTATCTCAGTGGGCTAGCACTATAAATCGGCATCAGTCCGGACTAGTACAAGCAGCCACATACACACACGCGTATGCATGTCACTATATAAGTGCAGTAATCTTGGATGTGATGTTAAACCCCATTTCACCCCACCTCACCTCACCTCACCTCACCTCACCTCACCTCACCTCACCGTTGGGGGCACGGGTGGCCCATTCGTCTAAGGCGCTGCGATTCGCTGTGCAGAGTTGCGTCCCTTGGGCATGCCAGAAACCTATGATTGTGGGTTCGAATCCCGGTTCGCCCCGATTATGTTTCTAGGTTTGTCAGCACGGAAGTGGTAAACGTCTGAGACCTGCATCACTTCGCGCTTTCCTCACACATTAAGCTGACAAACCGTGATATGACTGGAATAATGTTAAAAGCGGCGTTAAACACAACTCACTCACTCACTCACCTCACCGTATAGTCACCAGGTTGTCATCAGGCATTCAAGGGACACAGACAGACATTGTCCTGATGCTACTGGCTGCTATCTTCTTTCAACCCCATGTTGATATCTGTGACAAATATTCCTTTTCAGAATCCATCATTTCACATCAGCATTGCCTGGTGCTTGGGAGATGTTACAGCTGATGTAACAGACCAGAAACTAGGCCAGATGAAGGTAATACCCGTACACTGGTATATTGTGCAGTGCCGTAGCCAACCGGGAGGGGGGGAATCGACATTAGCCAATCAGAAGGCAGCTTTCTTGAGCTTTTAAGACACTAGTCTCAAATTGGCGACAACGCTTCGAAACATATTTTGACGTATTCTCGATTAAAAAAATTAAAACTGATAAGAAGAACATTCTAGAATGGCTTATAGATGGCCTAGATTGTATGGATATAATCATAAAACACGTAACTGTTGTTCGGAATACCCCGTGTTAAATATTTCGTGGTTGCATGATTAGAAAACACATTCCGACTGTCGCTTTCATGATCTGGTAAGCGACGGTCTGATTGGTTGGATGAAAGGTCGTTCTGACGTGACCCTTAATGGGATGTCCTCAGATGTTTGTTTAGCATAGGAGAACTAAGATCTGATTTTAATAAGATTGGGTACTCGGGCCGAGTGGGTACTGAGGAGGACCCGGGTTCCTACAGGACAAACTGGACCCGTGGTTAGTCATGTGATATAGCTTCATGACAAAAAATCACTACATGGTTTGAATAAAGAAAACTTTAGTCCATTTCAGTGTATTAGCATCACCAGATCCTTTTAAACACATTTTGCTCCGGCTACTGTCAAACTATTCCCAATCGGACATTTTGTACCTATCTTTTGAAACCAAAAGCGGGTACCCAGATAGGGTCGGGTAATAGGGGTGTGGGTACCTGGGTAGTAAAGCTGGACTCGTTCCAGCCCTAGAAGGAACATGTTACAACAGACTGTTTGGACTAACCTTGGTATCTAGAGGATGACACTGTCGGTGTTGGATGCTGGGTCAACCACAGAGGCTTGTAATACAAAAACTAGCAGCTACAAGATATATGGTCACACCCAGTGTCAGTATACTATATTAAAGGAAAGGGATGTAACGAGGCCAACTCACTATGTTAGTTCGAGGACGAATTCAACAATGTCCCCTATAAGTACCACATAATACTATTCACTCCTTTTGGGCGGTCGGGTAGCCTAGTGGTTAAAGTGTTCGCCCGTCACGCCGAAAACCCAGATCCGATTCCCGACATGGGTACTATGTGTTAAGCCCATTTCTGGTGTCCCCCGCCATGATATTGCTGGAATATTGCTAAAATCGGAATAAAACCGTATACACTCACTCACTATACACTAATTCCAAGCCAATACATTTAGCTACACATTGAGACATTGATGAAGAAAATCGAAGTCATACTTTTGGATCTCGCATCTTCAGAAGCTCAAAATATTGGGATTTTTTAAAATTCTAAACCAAAATCCCTGCTCAGAATTTGTACCGCTAACTTACTGATTTTGATTATTATTGGGTCGTGTACACAAATACCACGCACCAAATCATGTTAAATCGATGGCACCTGTGAGGCCGGCCATCGTCATTCTTTCCGGGACAGGGCGGTCGGGTAGCCTAGTGGTTTAAGCGTTCGCTCGTCATGCCGAAGACCCGGGTTCGATTCCCGACATGGGTACAATGTGTGAAGCCCATTTCTGGTTCCCCCGCCGTGATATTGCTGGAATATTGCTTAAAGCGACGTTAAAACCATACTCACCAACTCACTCTTTCCGGGACACACACATTTGATGGTATAATGAATTGACGTACATATATTGGTCTCAATAAGCCCTTTGCCGTGCCGTCCGCCATAGACGACCTTGGTCTTGAAAAAACCTGCACTGTGACTTCGTGGCATTTGGTTTACAAAGATTATGTTTACATATACCTAAAAATATTAGGCCACACCCATTACTGGACCACTATTTCCTTATTGGCTGAAAATAGAGTAGGTGTGGCTTGGGTTGCATAATTACGCAGAAAACTGTCACTGATTTCGGGTCGATGTTTACATTTTTGTGTTTAAAGATCTCAATGCAATCTGTGAAGTTTTATTTTTGACATATTTATTAATAAGAATTGACTTCAATATATTCAAGGCCATATTAACTTTTTTGGACGGGGGGGGGGGGGGGGGGGCAAATAAGATTATTAATTTTTTCTTCAAGTTACTTTCACAAGGAAAAATGTTTTCTGTAAAAAATCCAGGGGGGCAACAGCATTTATGGGTTTAAGTTATTGTCTTAAAAATTGGTGTACACCTTTACAAAGTTTTTGTAAACACTTTTACAAGTGAGCACACCGAGTTTTACATATTACCTCAATAATCGCAAAAAAATATTTTTGTAAATTCTTAAATAAAAACATGTTACTGATAATCAGTACTTCTATTGCAGCTTGGTGGTCATTCTGTCAATGAGTTTTGGTCTGTAGAAGTTGTATGGCAGTTAAACTGTAATTTTGTGTTTCAGAAAATGGTGCAAGTGTTTGGCCAGGAGAATCCAGATCTCAGTGTCCTTGAGGTTCGGGAGATCGAGTGCAAGTCAGGGAACAAGGTTTTCCGATTTCCTCTACAGCAGGACAGCTGACCCCAGACTTGAAACAAATAAAATCTTTAAACTAATATTGTTGTTTTGGTTTGTATTTGGTTTGGGGGTTAAACGTCTTTGATTTGAAATCATTCCAATCTGATTAAAATCAGATCATTTTCTGAAACAAAGATCTGTGGTCTTGTCAGAACAAAGATCATAAAATAGATGGTTTCTGGTTAGAATGACCTTTCATCCGACCAATCAGGCATCGCTTACCAGATCAGGAAAGTGACAGTCAGAACGTGTTTTCTAATCATGCAACCTCGGAAGGTCAACACAGAGTATTCCGAACGACAATCTCTCACATCAATGGGATAAACACTGGAAATACTGCCAAACAATCTAGACCATACTTTAGACATTCTAGAATGTCCTTCTGTCCAATTTTCAATTTCTGAATCGAAAACTTAGCCAACATATTTTTCAAGCGTAGTCTGGAATGTAAATCGCAAGTTTGAAACTTGTGCCGTGTAGCCCGAGAAAGCTGCATTCTGATTTGCATTATGTCGTCTTCTTGTGAAACATTTCATTGGTTGGTCAAAGTGCGCGAAAGGTCATCCTGTAATGGGATGTCCTCAGATCTTTGTTTAGCGGTAGTGAGAACTAAGATCTGATTTTAATGAGATTGAAATCATGCATTCACAAGAGACAGATCTAGGATAGGAAGGCAATGTTGAAGCCAGTGGGATTCTGTGATTCAGGTCGTAACCTTGCCGACACTGATCTGGTTAATCGTTGCCGTGTCAAATTTGAGTGTTGATGGACCCGGATGTCGCAGTCAACTCCAAATATATTTGTTTTGTTTGTTTGTTTGTAGTTTAACGCCTCACTCAGCAATATTCCAGCTATATGAAGGTGGTCTGTCAATAATCGAGTCTGGACCAGACAAACTAGTGATTGACATCATGAGCATCGATCCACGCAATTGGGATATGATGACAAGCATCAACCAAGTCAGCGAGCCTGGCCACCCGATCGCTTTAGTTGCCTCTCACGACAAGCATAGTCGCCTTTAACGGCAAGAATGGGTTACGGAAGACCTATTCTACCCCGGATCTTCATGGGTCACCAAATATGCCAAAGTCGGTAACCCTTCTTAGAGGAGCATGTTCAACTTTCAGGATCTCCTTGGAAACGTGACAGCCAACACTGATATCAGGAAGCACCAGTAACCAGAGAGAACATGGAACTCTACAGAAGGAAAACAATAGGCACATTGTGAACTGTTAAAAACTGAACAGCTTGGACTAGTATGGATCCACATGCAACCGTGTTACAGAGTGGTGGATTTGTAATCTGTGCAAGGCAGGGGAGCTTAGTAAACACAAACAGTGAAAAACTAAGTGAGTGCGGTTAGGAATGTACAACAATAAATGTTGATTTACTATCTTAAAACAATATCCGCCATTTGGAGAGGGGCATCTTCGCGAGGCAAGGGAGTTAACTGACTACGAAAGGAAACTGGTCAGTTGACGCCCTTGAAGATGGGGGAGGGGCAAAGTGGCAAAAACATACCTACAAATAGCCGTAGAAACGGTCATAAAATCGTCCAGCTGTCATTGAGTTTGCAACTGAAACCATAACGTGGTATTAGTTTACTTGACCGTTCATCACACTTCCAACTTGGGTAAAATATAAGAATATAAATTTCCAACAGGAAAGTACTACCCGTAGATTACACTTGAGACCTATTTATGTTGGCCAAAAGCATTCCGTTACAGATACAGAAACCCAGACCACAATTTTCAGCTTGAGACACGTAGACGAGGGCCATTCTTAGGGGAGACAGAATCAGTTTAGATCTTTGTTTTAGGCATTTAATGGGTTGAAGGATAAAACGCCACCTCAGCAAAGCGTTACGGATTTCAGTGAGTGAGTTGGGTTTAACGCCGCTTTTAACAGTATTCCAGTTATATCACGGCGTGTCAGCTTAATGTGGGAGGAAAGCTCGAAGTGATGCAGGTCTCAGACGTTTACCACTTCGGTGAAACCCACGAGCACGGGTACGGTGCTGACAAACCTAGAAACATAATCGGGGCTAACCGGGATTGGAACCCACAATCATACGTTTCTGACGTGCCCAAGGAACGCAACTCTGCACAGCGAGTCGCGGCGCCATAAACGACTGGGCCACCCGTGCCCCCTACGGATTTCATCTGGCGAAAACAACTACTGAAGGTCAAGCGAAAACGGCACCTTATATTTATAATCAAGGTGTAAAATGACCCAGTCAATGAGATTGACATATAATATACATGTTGATGTTTGTTTGTTGTTTAACGCCGCACTCAGCACTATTCCAGCTATATGACGGCGGTCTGTAAATAATCGAGTCTTGACCAGACAATCCAGTGATTGATATCATGAGCATCGACCCACGCAGTTGGAATCGATGACAAAATATATATGTACCATTTCTATATCCGCGTATATCTAAGAAGCCCGAACTGGGTAATCCTTTATTAATGTAACCAATTTTATGCTCTTAAAACGTTAAATGCCCTTGTATCATCGATGGTGGTTAATCGTGAAGAAATGAATCGGGATCGAATAACTGCTCGATAAATAAACACTGCTGTCCGCATTGCCATATTCACTGTCAGATTTCTGACACACCTCTGGGTTAGAAACACATTTGAGACAACTGATCTCAACTGGTATGCGTGAGATCGAATTCCAGGGCTGTGATTGGCTACTCCACGGTGATGTCCTGACGTCAGATTATGGCGGACTACAGTACTGTCTGATTGTAATTACTTGGTGAAATCCTGAACTGGTACTCGTATGCCAGGCCCCTTGATTTTCTCGTCTAGGGTGTCCTTACTTGTCCTTAGTTTCGTGTTTCTCATCTCCAAGGTTTTCCCAGAGAGTGAGTGAGTATGGTTTTACGTCGCTTTTAGCAATACCCCAGCAATATCACGGCGGGGGACACCAGAAAATGGGCTTAACACACTGTACCAATGTGGGGAATCGAACCAGGGTCTTCGGCGTGACGAGCGAACGCTTTAACAACTAGGCTACCCCACCGCCCCTTTCCCAGAGAGTGAGTTTGGTCAAAGGTCAAAGGGAGACAATCAAATCGATTTTTATTTCATTGGGTAAAGTTTGTGGTCAAAGGGAGGTAATTCAGCTTGATAATTGGACTGTGCGCCTGTCTGGCTAACTTGCGGCGCGTACCATCAGCGGAACCAGTTTAATTTGTAATTTGAAACGGAATTACGTCCTTAGCAGGACCTCGTCTCTCATGTCACAACATACGTAGGAGATAGTAAGTCCTACGTAGGAGATACTTAGACAAAAAAAAATTCACCGTGGCCCTACTACGCTTTCGTAGAAAAGTCCGGTCACGTGTGGCAGTGGTGTTATGTTAAGTCACCACAACGCCGGAGTGTGCATAGAACTCGGAAAATTCCGCACAATGTAGGGAGTTTCACTCAACACTGTATGGAGCTAATACAAGGGACCCTACTTTAATTTACTATTAGTATGTCATAACACGATTATCTCCCTTAGACCATTAAATTGATGGCGCGGCACGGCTTTTCGTCTTCACAACACAACGCGCTGCCGGGGTACTCTTTCAACGACGTATATATGTACGTCTATTGGGATCATGAGACATTACATGTCACACAAGAGGACCTACCGAAAATATCCTAAGTGTCTAATGCCTTGTTGCAAATATCATTGTGGCACTGTGAACATAGATTACCGATTACCTGAAGCATTTGTGCAAAAAAACATCAAAACTTTGATGTCACAATATATTCTAATGGCACGTAATGTGCAGCCAACCTGACGTATAAAACGGAATCCGATGAGTGGTCAACTTTGGCCCCTTCGTCAGCGCACGTCTCTCGCCGAGGGGGCGGTGAGATGTTTGCTGATTTGTGTCGGAACCGTGTTGCCGAACATACCCAGTTTCCGGAGTTTTCCCTGGATACTATTCAATGGAGCGAATTCTGTATTTACGACAGAGTCGCTCTCAGAATTTAAGTTTCCTGGGTTACACACACTTTTAAGGGACAGCAGGCAAATTATCGGGGCCGCTTGTAAGGTGATTATGGTGTCAGAACTTGTCCCTAACAGTTTATAGTTCCTATGGGTCATACTTACTTACTTACTTACTTTGGAGATTTAACGTGCGCTTTCCGACTGATGCGTATTTCGCACACGGGCCCGGCCAGGCCATTTAATGTGTTTCCGAAAGGGGCGAAAGTGGTCTGTGCAACCCAAGAGGGGGGTTTTAGGGGTTGCTTATATAGAATTTGGGAATTTTGAGATTTGGAATAGATGCCGATTGGATTGGGGAAATGGGTCAATCCAATGGGTCATCGATCGGCAGCCATTTTGTAAGAAGCGATAAGTAAGCTGTCGATGTATTCATACGCACGTTTGTTGTGTGAAAAGGCTTAACATATTTAAAAGAGGTTTCAGTTGCGAAAAGGAGACCTTTTTAACCAATCTTAATCAAGCATTCTTCAATGTTATGGTAGAATATTAAAATTATTGTGGGTTTTAAAAACGGAACCAACGTCACGCACTTCTCTTGGCACAATACTGAGACCGTAAGCACTGGTGTATTCCAGTGAAAGTGAAAAGGCTTACCACAGAGTGTCTTTATTCATATCATGATATGCTGCACGAGATTTCCAAACTTTACAGGCTAATCCCGCACAAAGGGTACATACAGAGACCTGGATCTATGACGTCACTTGTGATGCGTTCATGATGCGGTTCACATACCATAACAGTATGTTTGTTTGTGCATGGAACCAGTCTCAAATCTCTTGAAAATGAGAAATTCTTCATACCATAGTGGAGGCGAATCCTATAGCACAACACAGAAATACAGGTAGCGAGGAGTTGCTTCAATTCCATGTTTCAACAGTTCACTTTAAGGACGTGACCCGTAACGGGATGTCCATCTTAGTAAACCGGTAGAACTAAGATCTGATTTTAATGACATGATTGCTTTTTTGTCTACTTGTTGTCTGCTATGGCATCGTAAGTGTGAGTATTTATGCAGTAA